CCGTTAGTGATGGTGTACACCGCCAGGTGCACGGCGGTGCACCGCCAAGGTGTGTCTGGTGCCACCACCATGTTTTCCCTGAGGGCAGCCAAAGTGGGGCTGGTCACCGCTACGGCACTGGCGTGCCTAGGGCGGTGCACCGCCGCTTTTTTATAGAGAGCAGGGGTTTCAGGGTTTTGGCCGGGATGGTCACCACCCCCTAGGGCGGTGCCACCGTCACTCATTGTCCGGTGACTAACGGCTAGTTTTCTAGTCGTTGGAAGTTGACCGTTAGGGCACCGCCATCCCTGAGGCGGTGACACACCGCCCTGTCCAGTGCCCTCGTAGAAAAGTGATCTTTGGCTCCAACGCCTCTATTTGGCTTGGGGCTATAAATAGAGGTAGATCTCGGGCTTGGCTGAGGTTGAGCACCTTGGGGATGTGTTGCCCTTGTGTGTGCTTGGTTTGAAAAGCCTCTAACTCACTTCTGCTAGCGAGAAGTGCGAATCCATTGTGAGTGAGTGATTCTAGTGCGTTGCATTGTGAGATTGCATCGACTGGCACTAGATGATCGAGTTGCAAGCCGATGGTGCTTGTTAATCTTGGAGGTTGCCACCTCCTAGATGGCTTGGTGGTGGTCTCCGTCGAAGCACGCAAGAAAGCTTGTGCAGTGCTCCAGAGAAGAATTTGTAAGGGGTACCGTGCTCATACCACGGGAGCCACGAAGAGCAACACTAGTAGAGCGTGTCATTGAGCTACCCTCAATTTTAGGGTAGGTTCTTGCGGTGCCAACGTGTGGGCTTGGCGGGTGATGCAAATTAGCCACCGAACCACCAAGTGAGCGGTCGACACAACGGGGACTAGCGTGTTGGCAAACACATGAACCTTGGAAGAAAAATCACCATGTCAACACTGTTCTTTCCACTGGTTTGCATCCCCCATACATAAGCTTGTATTTATTTTCATATATATTATGCTTGTGTAGTTGCTCTTGTAATTAGTTTACTTGTGTAGCTTGCTAGTTACCTTCTTGCTTGTGTAGCATAGAAGTAGCTCCCTTTGCGTAACTAATTTGGTTTTAGTAACCTTGTTAGTTACTTTGCTTAGTTTGTGTAGCTAAGTAATTTGAGCTCTCTAATTTGGCTTGTGTAGCCTTGTTATTGAGCATTGCTATTGAGCTTAGGAGCTTTGTGCTTTTGCTACTAACATGTGTAGGAGCTCCCCGGTGCTTGAAGTACTAGTGGCATAGATTTGTGTGACCTTGCTCCTAGAATTGGTTAGGTGAGCTCTAGCTAGCCTGGCACCTCAGTTGCTTGATTAGGATCTTTTATAAGGTGCTTAGGAACTTAGATAGAGGGGTGTAGTCTTGGCTAGACTGATAGTTTTAATTCCACACTTGTTTCGGTTAGCCGGCACGTTTAATTTTAGAAAGGACTATTCATCCCCCTCTAGATCGTCATCTCAACCCTATAGTTGCCTTTCGTGATCCCCCACGGGGAAGGCACAAGAACCCCTCATAATCCACCGATCGAGCCAGAGACAAACACCACCCTCCGCTCAACGATCCTCGCTGCTCCAAGCCGTCTAGGTGTCGGCAAACACCAAGAGTAACAAGAGAAATTCACAGCGAAACACAATCACCGAGTGCCTCTAGATGCAATCACTCAAGCAATGCACTTGGATGCTCTGCAATCTCACCAAATGCTGAATCAATCAAGCAAGATGAGTGAGAGAGGAATGGCTAGGCTCACAAGGTTGTATTCTCAATAGAAATGGCCAAGAGAGTGAGCCCAAGCTGACCAACATCTATTTATAGAGTTCCCCAACTCAACATACCCGTTGACCATCTTAACCTGCTGTCTACGTGATGACCGGACGCGCAGTTAAGTCACACCGGACGCGTCCAATCGCGTACGTTTGGTCACTCCAAATGCGCCTTGTGTCCTGACCGTTTAAAACTATCTGTTGGCGCCCAACGGCCACACGCGCCCACACACAGTCAGCGCTGATCGAATGCACCCACGTGTGTCCAGAGTCCGATCAAGTCTAGAGAGCTCCTAGAGCTGCTCTGAGATGACCGGACGTGTCCGATCCCCGACGACCGGGCGCACCCAACGTCTGAAGAATTATTTTCTCCAAACAGAGAGAGACCAAATCATGACCAAACATGTCTGAGCCCTGAGTATGGTCGATAATAAAGAGTCCAGTCCTCTCTATGCTATCGTTGCCAATTGATGAACAGTACCATGGTCGAGTCCAGTCGCGTTCAACACCCCGCATCCGGTCACCTCGTCCAGAGCAGCCGAGCCTAGGGCCAAGCACCACACGCGTTCGGTCTTCCTAAGGACCGTGTCCAGTCACCCCAGTGACCATCTCTTCTCCAACTTCAACACCCTTGCTCCCAAGTGCTAACCACAAAGTGTTTCACCATTGTGCACATGAGTTAGCATTTTCACAAAGAATTTTTAAGGGTGTTAGCACTAACTAGAATCTAAATGCATATGCAATGAGTTAGAACATCTAGTGGGACTTTGATAACCGCATTTCACATATGAATTTTGCTCCTCTTCATAGTACGGCTATCTATCATAAACCCACTCACACCCACTTGGTGTCTTGAGTAGAAAAACAAAATGCTCCTAACAAATATACCTTTGTCTTGAGCTATTTTATTTTTCTCTTTCTTCTTTTTCAAGTTTAGAGCTTGACCACCATCATCACATGTCCACCAACATCACAATGGACTTCATATTGCTCCAACACTTGGTGTGTACTAACCTATCTCATATTCACTTAGAGCCAAAGGTTAGTACTTAGGGTTTTATTAATTAATCAAAATCAAACTAGGGCTTTCAACGCCTCCACCTCGTGCACCCATCCTGGGCTTTCAACGCCTCCACCTCGTGCACCCATCCTGGGCGCGGGGCATGGATGACCAAAACCGGTGGCGGTAGCTCTTCACCATCCAAAAATGGAGCAGTGTCATCCACGGGCTCCCATGCTAGCAGATGCAGCGCACGACCGTGACCTGCTCTGGGGCGGCACGGATATCGCGAACGCAAGCATGGCGGTTCTCATAGACAAAGTCACCAAGGAGCGCAAACTAGATGGTCGTTGCTCTAGGTGTCGACGGTGGGACCACCTAGAAGCGGGGTTGGATCCGGTGAACCTTGGTTGGAGCGGACAAGACCCCTTCGTGTGGGTTTACCGTGCTTATGTGGTGCCCATTCTTTTTTTGTTAGCCCTAGCCCAAATAGACAGCTCGTCAGCGAGGTTTCCATGGCTGGCCGAGAGCTCGCGCCGCCAGAGTTTAGGGAGCCGTGGCTAGCTCGCCACTGTCGTCCCTGCCTCACAGGGCCCTATGCCCATGTTGTGCCGCGCTACACCATGCCTGCACCATGGGCACGACCTCCTCGTCCATGGGCATCGCCGCCGTTGCCTGGTCGCAAAAGGGGAAGGAGAAAGAAAAGAAAGGGAGAGGGGAAGAAGAAAGGAGCAAAAAGGACATTTTTCGTTCTTCTCAGGAGCCAGAAATGGATATTTTATCGGTCACGGTATTCAGGAGCAAATTTAACAACCACCGTGTCCAGTGTCAAATGTGACTTATTCAGTGTCCACTAGCAAATGAATATCGTCATGTAGCCTATTTTGCCAATTTGCTACCACTCCCTTTGCCCCTTGTTTTTTCTATTGTGGTACTTCCACTCTAACGAGTGGTGAACAAAACGCATTAACACAGAAGGGGCTCATCCACCTCTTTTCTCTTCTTTCTCTTCTTCTCTTCTTCTTCTTCTTCTTCTTCTTCTCCTCCTCCTCTTCCTCCTTTTATTCTTCTTCTACTTCAACATTGTCCAAAACTTATAGAAGAAGCTCCATTGTGTTTATGCCGGTAGGAGGGTTGGAGCCCACCCTACACCCCCTAGATCCGCCCCTGCCTTGTCTAGCACTCACTATCCCCCGTCAACTATGACTACCATGCATGCATCATGACATTTTCTCTTTCCATCGAGCAACAACAAAACTCTGATGTGAGAAGTTTTTAAAAAAAAATCATAACACACCTTCTCCAAAAACAAAATAAACCTCCAATAAAAGTAAAGAAATATAATAGACTATTTTCTAGTAGCTAACAACTACTGATAATCTGAAATGAGCTTTGATTGATAGCCCATGACTAGCACCTCCTTTTCCTTTTATGAGCCGTTGCATCTCCTATCTGAAAGTCTTAATTTTTTTTAACTGATAAAAAAATTAAATTGATAAGTTAACACGATTTAATAACCCTGTCCGCGCAGGCAATGCGGCGACCACAAGCCATAATCATACACCCCATTCGCAGCATCTGTTAGCTGACACTAGAGAAGGGAGACAAAAGCGAAAGACAGCAGCAGAAAGTGAAAGAACACAACTTAACAAATAATTCTCGGAGAAAATAATTCTAACAAACAATAAAAAAAAGAGGAAATCAAAGAAAGGCGGGGTAAACAACAGGAAAAGATATCGATTGATTGTGAATCAAAGCAGACGAGAGAGAAAAAAATGGATGGAAAAAAAGTAGCTGTAGTGGTAATCATTTGATCTTGAATTATTGATCCACTAATCCAAGGAGCAAGAGGGAGGGGGAGATCACTAGTTGTAGTCGAAGCCTTGCAGGTCCACCATCACCTCGCGCCGGCCGGCGCATCGCAGGCATTTGTTTAAGGGAAGGGATTCTCTTCTGCCGCGGCTGGCTGGGGCTGGCTGCGTCGCCACGTCCCGCGCACATCGCGCTGCCCAGCTCTGCTGCTGCTGCCGCTGCGTGCGCATCACTGGAAAGATGGGCCTGTGGGGACGGGGCTCCTTCTTTCCTTCCCCGCGCCATGAATGATGCGCCTTTTCTCTCTTCCTTCCTCCCTTCCATCTGGCTCAGTCAGCTCTGTCGCCTGCTCCTTCCTCTCGGTCTCCTCTGTCTGTCCATGCTCGGCTGCTGGCCTCCTGCTTCTTGCTTAGGCATTCTTGGTTTGGGAGCAGCACCGGCGGCGATGGCGAAGGAGACGGAGTACTACGACGTGCTCGGCGTCTGCCCCGCCGCATCCGACGACGAGATCCGCAAGGCCTACTACATCAAGGTCCGCCTAACCTTCTGCCCCCCGGTGTCCCGTCTTTCTTGCTCTCTTCTGCTTCTGCTGAGTTTCTCGGTTCCTATAGTTCCAAAAACAGCAAATGCCTTTTGGTTCCTGCTTATTTGGGAAAGTACTGTATATCTTCGAGTGTTGTTAAGGGTTATTACGTTTCTTTGTTCAGGCGAGACAGGTGCATCCTGACAAGAATCCCAACGACCCACACGCGGCCGAGAAGTTCCAGGTTCTCACTGCAGCTTGATTCAATCCATATTCTTGTTGGATAGCGACTTAATTCAGTGGAGTAGATGTATGATGTGTTGACAAGCTGAGATTTTTTTTCCCTTCCTGTGGATGATTCCCAGGCTCTTGGAGAGGCTTACCAGGTGCTGAGTGACCCTCTGCAGAGGAAGGCTTACGACGGCTACGGCAAGAACAGCATATCCAGGTAGATACCTAGTAGACATGATGGTATCTTCCAAAAAAAAAAAATGAGAGGATGATATAACTCAGCAGAAATCTGTACTTTAGAACTCTTTTCTACTAGTAGTAAGTGGAGCTAAATCTTGAAGTTGGTCATGTTATGTTGGATCAATCTTGGTTAATTGTCCATTTTTTCCCCAGGCAGAACATACTGGATGGTACTGTGGTGTTTACCCTTCTTTTCGGGAGCGAGCTGTTCGAGGACTATATTGGGCATCTTGCAATGGCAACAATGGCTTCCTCGGAGTTGACAAGCGATAATGACAGCCCTGAAAAGCTTCAGGATAGGCTCAAGGTTAGCTAACTAAGTAAAAACAATGACCTCTATCTCTACTGAGGATAGTGTAGTATTTCAAATTTTGATGTGATGCTGTTGGTTTCACTTTATTTTATTGTGATCAAGAATGTACAAAGGGAAAGAGAGGAAAAGCTAGCTAGATTCCTCAAGGAATTCCTCTCTCAGTATGTTCGTGGAGACAAAGAAGGATTTGCTAATCGTGCTGAAGCTGAGGCGAAGAGGCTCTCAAGCACTTGTCAGTCTTCTGATCCTAGTAAACGATTTTTATTTTTATATGTTCTCTCACATTCAACTCATTGTGAATGTCCATTCGCAGCATCTGGGTTGGATATTCTTCGCACCATTGGATACGTCTATTCTCGACAAGCAACAAAGGAGCTTGGCAAGAAGGCCGTGTACCTAGGAGTGCCATTCGTAGCCGAATGGGTGAGGAACAAGGGCCATCTGTGGAAGTCGCAGATCACAGCAGCGAAAGGTGAAAAACATTTTTCTTGTAGCAGCTTGTGCTCTGATGATTAAAATTTCTGACTGATGAGGGGGCAAAAGGAGAAATTCAGGGGCCCTGCAGCTGTTGCAGTTGCAAGAGGAGGCCTGCCGGCAGAGTAGCAAGGATGGCAATGCTACCGAGCAGGATGTTGACTTGCAGATGAGGATGAACAAGGACCTGATGATGAGCTCACTGTGGAAGCTGAATGTTGTGGATATTGAAATGACTCTATTGCATGTTTGTGAAATGGTATGTGTCTTGAGGTATCCAATTTATATAAAGTATGATAAGTATGAGCAGTATGTGTTCGTAGCTTTTCTTTGACAGCCGGAGGGTGGAACTTTGAATAATGAACGGTTGTGTGCGCGACTCATGCATAGGCCAGAATAAAATTTCCTTGAACTAAAAAAAGTAGCTACAACTATCTGGATTACAAATAGTCTCTTATTCCAGGTTTATCTGTTCAAATTATCAGCAAATCAAGCTTATTTAATTTGACAAGTTTGTTCTTTAGGTGCTATACGAAAACAATGTCAAGAAAGAGGATCTGAAGGCCCGAGCAACGGCCTTGAAAATTCTTGGGAAAATATTTCAGGTACAGTGATTGCCCATCCCTTAATGCAATTTCTATAGCTATATGTGCTACGTTGGTAGTTAAACTGGTGAAACTGACATTTACATATTCAATGTTTCGTCAATTAAAACATGAATAGAGGGAAAAGGAGGCATTGCCAGGGCCAGCACCAGCGCCAGTGCCAGGTCCATCAGGACCGTCAAAACGAACAGTTCTCGATGATGACAGCAGCTCAGATGACAGTTCAGACGATGACCTGGCTCGAACAGTGCCATACCGGACTCCTGCATTTACCCAGGCAATTGTCCATCCACCCGCGTATTTGTTACATATTCAATGATTTTATGTGTTGAATCTTCAGTAAGAAGTCCGTATGTTTGTGGTGCAGGGAATCGGCAGGTTGTTCCGATGCTTATGCAACCCAGCTTATGATGTTGACGATGATTTCGAGCCCCGCAAATGAGTCCTAAAGAGGCAGGTACCAACGGATGTTCCAAAGGTTCGTGACTTTTGTCAAGCATATGATTCAGAACAGTGTGAATTAGGACAATATGTTCCCTTCCTTTGCCTTAAGGATACACATGTAGATGTTACTTCAGCTCTGGTGATCAGACCAACATATTAGAGATCCTCATTTTCTCTTCCATGAACAGTAGACCTCCACTCCTTTTTTGAGATAGATCCAACTGAATGGTGTTGTGTTTATGTAATTGGTTGTTATTGATGTTATCAAAAAAAGAAGGAAAAGAACAAGTGCTTGTAAAAATCCATTTCTGATCCTAAAATGATATGGGAAATTCAGGTGCAATGAACATCAACTTTTGATCCTGTTGTCGGGCGTATTGTATTCTGTCTGCAAATATTTTGTAAGTTCCTACACGGCTGTCATTGTCAGAATAACGGGAGTAGTAGCCTGCTCTCTTTACTGCGAGTTTTTAGCATTAGAGAATGGTGGAAGTGCTCCTGCTTCAAACATGGATGAAGTTGGAAGTCATGCAGAGCCAAATGCTGGAATGCAGAGCCTAATGCAGAGACAGTTTCGACAGATAAGCATGTTGGATGAAATTTTGCGCAGATGGGATGAACCCTTAACAAGCAATCTGCAGCATGCATTCTACAGAACCACCATTCTGGTTGAGGCTCTTTATGAACTGTACAACAACCACAGCTGCCACATAGAGATACACAGTTGCTGTCTCTCTCTCTCCCTCTCCCACCCACTAGGCCACTACTACCCTAGTTCTCAGTCCATTTCTTCTACACCAGCTACACACAGTTGGAGTTGAATCGCGTGACCACCTGTTGTCAGGCCCGGAGTTTTGCGAAGAGGCTGCCGAAGGAGAAGAAGCTGCTCCTGACCATGCCGCCGGATCTTGGCTCGGGCGCTTTGGCCACCTCAGCAGGCACGCTCACGTTCTTGACGTTGAGCATGACGGTCTGGCCAAACTGACCCCGGAGCCCCTCGATGGTCTTCATGTCCACCGGCTGGCCCGAGGGGTCCCGGACGTAGAAGACGTTGGTGGCCTGCCCGCCCGCCGTCGTCACGTCGGCGCGGCTCACCGTGAGCCCGTGCTCCCGGAGCACCCTCGTCACGTCCGACAGCAGGCCCACCCGGTCCCTGCCGCACACCTCCAGCGTGAAGCCCTGCACGTAGCGTACGGCGCGTCGCCGGCGTCAGCAACAGCCAACAGAACGTGTTCCGGTAGAAGTGGAATCCTCTCAGCAGGAGACAGGATCACAGGAGTGAGCCAGCGAGCTCTGTACGTACCTCGGATACTCTTCTGGAGATGGCTGCTTCCAGGCACCTGATCACCTTCTCTGCTTCGTCTTTCAGAAGCGTCTTGCCGTCCTTGCGGCGGATGTACAGCTCCTGGAACAAGAACAATGGAAGGAAAAGCTTCATGAACGAACCTGCTTGCATTGCATTGCCTGATACAGACGTGACGTGAACAGCATCAGGCACTGATTGAGTCTATATATGTGTATGTACCTGGATGCCGTAGTTGGCTTCGGAGGACACGGCGGCATGGAACACGACGTACTCCATGTCCGTGAGCGTGCACACGATGTCAAACAGCAGCTTGGACCGGTCCTTGCACTTGACGTTCACCACGGAGTAGGACTTCTCCTCGCAGTGCTCCACCGTCACCTCCGGCCTGTTGCCCTCGCCGCCGACCGCCACGGGCGCGCCGGCGCCGGCGCCATCGTCGCCATCGCCGTGGACGGCGTCCACGTCAGCGTGCATGAGCTGGTGCAGCCGCCGGTCCAGGTGGTGCGGCGTCGAAGAAGCGTCCGTGAAGTTGGCGTGCGCGCCGCTGCCGTCGTCGTTCCCCCCGCCGCCGCCGTACCCGCGGAGCACGTGCCGCAGCCGGTTCTCGATCGTGGACACGCGGCCCGGGTCGTCGATGGCCTGCCCCGTGGCCACGTCGTTCACGTACACGACGCAGGCCACGCGCATGCGGTGCGTCCACACCTCGGCCGCCAGCACGTTGCACTGGAGGTCGGCGAGCACGGCGAAGATCTCGGAGAGGAGGCCCGTCCTGTCGGGCCCCTTGAGCTCAATGGCGGTGTGGTCGCCGATGGAGTGCAGCCCCACCAATCTCCCCTGTGTGTTGCTGCCTTTTGGGCACAGCAAATTGCTCTCTGGACCTAAAGCCTGACCCAAGAAATGGAACAAGTTTGAGTTCATTCTTTCAGCGTTGCTAATTACGGATTAAAACTTATTCACGCTATTGAAAGATAAAATTCACACTATATAGTTAGCTTAAATTTCATTGGCACAAAATCGTTCTAGAATTTGCCAACCTTCTCAATGTACTTGATGGTCTTGTCATCAGTAATCTTCTGCCCTTGCTTATCCACGACATGGAACACTGCATCAAGTTGCAACACATGGTATGACTCCAGTTGAACTATATGAGTTGCAAGAACATATAGTGGAACGGAGGGAGTAGTATATCTTACCATCCATGAACCATCCACCATCAGAGGTGATGTACGCTTTGAAGATGTGGAGGTCCAGATCACTCAGGACCTGCAGCACCTCCAGCAGAATGCCATTCTTGTTCGTGCTGTCAACCTGCATTTCAAAGGCAAGACCAAGATGACATGAGATGGTTCTTACCTTCACCAAGGTGCAGTCATCACAGGAACATTACTACTCTGCAATCTACCACTGGAGCTGAAGAGGTCAGAAATGCTTCTTACCTTCACCAACGTGCAGTCGGTGCATGTGGTGTTGTCAATGCAAACCCTGCAAAGTCATCACTGTCTGTAAGCACATCAAGTAGACGAGGCTGTAACAAGCACTGAAAGATTAATTGGACGACAATTGAGAGACCTTGGAGGGTTGATGCGCTGGTTGAAGTTCTCGTACTCCGGATCAAAGTAGGGCAGCATCTTCGGAGCTGGTGAATCGATCCTTCCACTGAAACAAACAAATTTAGGAGCAAAATATCACCATCAGCATCGTCTAGCGTAGCAACTAGCAACGTCATGCTGCAAAGATCCTCTAACTCGATGTCAAGTTGTCAACCATGCATGACAATCCCGGCCAGTCATTGAGAGCAGAGACTTGGATCCAATTATTCGACGACAGAGAAGCCAGCACTCCTGAATTCCTTGGTAAAGAAGGTGCAATCATTGTGGACAAGAGAACAAACATACCTTTCACTAGATTCTTCTTTCAACCTGAGCTCTGCACCTCAGATAACCTGGAAATTAAGTCATTAGCTGTCTTCGATAAGTCTCTGAGCAAGGACGTCTGAACTAAGGGATGAAATGAAACTGCTGCACTGCTTGCACGCTCTGAAGTCTGAACTTCCTAGGCTAGGAATTCAGACACTTGGAAGAACACACAATGCGCAGAACTGCAGAGGGAACACCTGCATTTCTTCACCAGATAAAAGCACATCGCAACGAGCCGTGGACCGAGCCGGGGCCTAACGCTACTAGCTATACTATAACAAGGCCACTCAACTAACAGGTAACAACGGTGGTTGTACCATCTGTGGTCGAAGATGACACTATATAGACCTCTCTCTACAGGGCTACAGCACCATAAAGGCGCAGGCACTGATCACCTTCACCTTCACCTCAGAGCGCACAACAGTAAAGATGACCACCCTCTTGGGCTCCGGCGAATCGGTGACCAACAAAGTGGCGACCTACGCACACATGTCAGCATGTGACTGCGAGTTGTGTGATGTTGGATTCAGAGCGACGAATGAACAGGCACAGGGCGGATGAATTATTACCGGACCGGAATATAATCCAATCCGGCGGGAGCGGGAGGAGAGCAATCAGCGGCAATGGGTTCTGTTGTGCTTGTGCAGTGCAGTGTCGATCTGCAGTGCAATAGAATAGAATATAAAATAGGCACTGAGGAATCAGGAACCACGTCAGGGTGACTGGACGCCGATAATAATAAGTCTGTTCGCTTGCTCGTAAACGATCGTAAATTTTCAGTCAAAAACATTGTTTTTTCTCTTACACCAAACCAGCCAGCAGTAAATAATCCACGATACGATGAACAGGCTTAATAAAGAAGCGCAAAAATGCCTTTGGCAAATGACAAGCGCTTTAGTCCCGCCGTTAGATTCCCGCCAAAAGTGCGCGCGCGGACACCAGCAGAAATCCGTCGCTGCAACTTTGGCCGAATGGCCAGTATTAAGGTGGCTACGTCATGGCCTTTTTCTCAAGAAGGAAGAAACATAAAAAAAAATTAGGAAAAGAAAAATAAACTGGTCGTCACTTTGTGTAATGTTTTAGGTGAGGCCAACTCTTTCTTATTAACCGTATGATCTTGTTTCCCTAAAAAAACCGTATGATCTTGTTCGACGGTCAAATAGCCAATTCTCTCCTTATCTGACGGAGTTTAATATTTGTCATAAGTAACTACTTGTTTTCTTCGCTAGGCACTATTACCTTTTGCCGAGCGAGGACAGGTGTTTTGGTGTTCGTGCCTAAACGTCTCAAAGAACGCAAGTGCACCATGGACAAATCAGCTCTCATGGACAGACGAGCTCCTTGTGCTCGCGCCGGTGCACCAAGTCGAGGCGAGGCAAGGCCACGTCGAGAACCAAGCAAGACCTCGGTCTCCGGCTATATTCGGTGTTAAGCTACCGTCACAGCTATATCTAGCTGCATTAAGGTCAGTAGCAAGAGCTTGTCACTCGAGCGGGTGTTTTAAGGTGGGCGGGGCTTCCCAAGTTGGTAGTGGTTGGTGTGTCTATGGCGAAAGCTTGGGTGTCTCTAAACCTGAAGTGGTAGGAATGGTTTAGGGCGATCGCTGCCCGCTTCCAACGGTGGAGGAAAACAGGCCCCTGCACCATGGTCCTGCAGCAGACCATACCATCTTTTTTATGATGACATTATCTAAAAGAATATATAGCTGCAGCTGCACCAGTTATCCATAGGTGTGGGCAAGCCCAAGGTGACTACCTAGGGTCCAGGGCTGGAAAC